TGGATGCTGCTCCTGTGTGCATGCGTGTGTGTGTGTGTGTCTGTGTGTGTGTGTCTGTGCGTGTGTGTGTCTCTGCCCACACGTGTCAGTATGCAGTAGTGGATGGGGGTGTTCCTCTGACCTTGAAACATCAGCTATGTCCAGCTCAAGTATCAGCCAAAGCAGCTGTTGAGTTAACCCACTACAGACAAAGATGTTTCTCTGGAGTCTCCTGTTCCCTGTGCTGCTCCAGTTAAGTGCTGTGAATAGATCTTTCCACATGACACTGGAAAAGGAGGAAGAGGAACAGAGGCAGCTTTCCTTGTTGCTACTCCTATCTCTGTTAAATTGCATTGCTGAGAGCCAGGGATACTGGTGCATGCATGTGATCCCAGCCCTTCAGAGGTAGAGACAGAAGGATCTCTGTGAGTTCGAGGCCAGCCCGGTCTACACAGCAAGTTCCAGAACAGCCAGAGCTACACAGTGAAACCCTGTCTCAAAAGAAACAAACAAAAAAGATAATGAAAAAAATTTCATTGCTGGTCAAGGTGTGGTGGGCACACACCTTAATCCCAGCATCTGGGAGTCAGATGCAGCAGATCCCTGTGACTGGCTAGCCTGGTCTTCATAACATGTGCCAGGACAGCCAGAACAGACCCTGTCTAAAAAATTTTTTTTGTTTAATCACTACACATACTCAGCTGGAAAGGGTAAGGATGGGGACAGCCCTATGTTAGCACTCAGGGGGGAACTTTGGGTAACTTGTAATAAGGGCAGTGAGTGGGAAGCACATTATACCGGGCAATGGCTTCAACAAGGTATATACAGAAGATGAATGAGCCTGTTTGACCAAACACAGGGGCTGGGACTTCAGTGTGGACCCAATATGCTGAAAACATAATCTCAAAACTCATATGCTGAATGTTTATGGAAGAGGGGCCTGAAAGAATATATAAATCTGAGGCAGGGGATGACAACAATAAACAAACATTCTCTTCGGGGTATAGCAGGGCAGCTTCACAAATGAACTCATGGTGGTTGTGACAGCATTCGCAAAACCTGTGCAGGCCCAAGCCAGGCCACATCCCAGCAAGAAGAGGAGCTGGGCACACAGTCCAACCCCAGACTGTGGAGCTGCTGGCAATGTTGGTTGCTAGGAGGGGAAAAGACAGTGTTTCCTAAGAGTGCATGGTCATGAAGGATTTATGAGAGAGAGAGAGAGAGAGAGACGACTTGGGTGAGTGAAAAATGTGTTGAACTGAACGAAAGTGATCAAAACACATCGCATGAAACAATATAAAAAATTTTAAGAAAAAACTCATTAAAAATTCCCCCCCCCCCCAAAAAAAAATAGTTTTAAAATAAACACATGATTGGCTGGAGAGATGGCTCACTTGTTAAAGAGCACTGTCTGCTCTTCCAAAGGTCCTGAGTTCAATTCCTGGCAATCACATGGTAGCTCACAACCATCTATAATATGATATGATGCCCTCTTCTGGCCTGCAGGTGTCTATGCAGATAGAGTACTCATACATACATAAATAAATCTTTAAAAAAAAAAAAACAGATGAAAAGCATCACATGTTATTTCCATCAAGTTCTCTTTGCTTCAGCTCAGTGTATAGTAAACGTGAACCAGCAGGGTGACACACAGGGACAAATCTGCCTCAGCAGTCTGTTCAAACTTTGGGTCTCTGCACAACTTTCTGACAAGAAAAAGGTGAGAAGGTTCAAAGTTCATCCTGCAGAGAGTGAGAACTAACACTTTTTAAAAGATAAATTGAAACTTGGGATGAATCCAAACTTTAAAAGCAATTATAGAAAATGATGACAAGGATGGTACAATCCACCTTTTATCTAGAAAGTAGCGCCTTCATCACCAACCTCCACCCTAGTACAGGGGGAACTGACGTGCAGTTTATTCCATGACCATATTATGCAAGTGTGATGTGCTTGTGTTCTGGATCCAAGTGTGGATTTTACTGTGCCAAGGAATATGTGGAAAGCACCTGTGAATAGACTGTCTTAAAGGGTTTGCAGTTTAGCTGTTTGGGCTAAGCTTGAAGGTGAAAAATTTGGCTTGTGATGCTTGAGTTTCTAAGACGACATCACCTCCTGACCTGGGACCATCAGTGAACTGGGAGAACTCTGGTGTCACAGCCAAGATGTCCAAGAGAAGAAGAATAGTGCAGATTGACATTACAAGCTAATTGTACACTGGGCAAATAGTTAGCTGGTAGATCTGTATGCTGAAGTTGCACCAGAATTTCTTACCATTGTGAGGTCTTTACAATTCTGTTCGTATCCGATTTTGGAGGCCCAAGAGTGGTTCCCGTTATGATCAGGTTAGCTCTGTTACATGAAAAGGCCTTTTCTTAAACTCAAAGCCTTACGCTCAAGGTGCTTTATAACATCACCTGTCAGTCCAGTGCATCAAACCTCACCCCTCCTGCCTCACTCCGCTCTCTCCACACAGGCAGGTGAATGTCAGCATACAATGATAGGAGCTTGGTGGATGGCAGCCATGGAGCATGACACTCCCCTCACAGCCTCAGAGGGTATTGTAAGGATAGGGGGTGAAAAACTTCCAAACCCACATTCTTGGAATATAAGCAGAACTCTTCAGACAATTATTCAGATCCACAGTTCCTGCTTCCAATAACCATGTTGTTTTCCTCCCCTATTTCTGTCCCTGAGCCCATTGCCTATGGTTCCATTTTACCGCAGATAATGTGGTGATCAATAGACTAAATGCATGCTCAGGATATTTGAGTGTGTGCAAGTTCACAGCTGACGGTTAGATACAAGGTGGGTGGGGGTTTTACTCACACAGTTACAGACACAGCTGGCACACACAGGGATCCTACAGCCACAGCAGAGCAGATGGCTTAATGAGACAGAAAAGAGGCCTATCATGGCAGGGAACCAGAAATAGCTTCTGCCTTTTAACTCCAGGGATCCAGGCTGCTGCTGGCTAAGGGCTCAGGGAGTAAGGGCTTAGGCCTGTCGAGCCCTTCACTCAAAAGTGCATGCACTAGAACTCTTCAAATATTGCTGATTAAGTGAGTAACTTTCAAAGGATTAAAATCAAAAGGTAAGAAGTCAGTCCCAAAGCAAACCTCATAGCTTGACTATGAGAAATGTACCTGGACACAAAAGGCAGGGACTGTTGAACAAAACAGTGGCTTTTCTTTGATGTAGATTCTATGGTTGCTGTGTGCACATTAATGACTGGCTCTTTATTCGAGATATCTAATGACTGCTACACTTGCAGCATCTTTGTCTCAGAGACCTCCTCTCCAGAGAAAGACCCTGAAGAGAAGAGAGGTTCAAAGAGAACGGAGAAATCTGGGCTAGTGCAGAGGCTGCTCTGGACAGCATTCTTGACAGGGAACCTCCTGAGCATTTTTAAGTAAACAGAGGGAGCATTGCTCCTAAACCTACAGCAGCCCTGCATGCTGTGTGGGTTCTTTGCTGCTTCTCCCTCTGCTGAGCTGGACCCCCTGATCACCGCCTGGAGAGTTCACTCCTACTGGATTACTGAATAATTGCCCATGGAGTCACTGTTCTGGGTTGAGGCTCCCCATGCAGGAATGGAGAATGGCACATGGGCACCTGTACTGAAAAGAAGGGAGCTCGTGGCCTTGAGTAAACATGGTTTTATGGCCAAACCTCAAGGCTTGTGGGAAATGCATCCCTGGGCCTACAGAAGAGGAATACTATGGAAGAAAATACATGAGATGTTAGTAAATGGAAAAGAAAATATTTCCTACCCATTAAAGCAAAAATCAAGCACTGAATCTGACTCCAGATGTAGTGGAGGATAAGAAAAGCCAGAAGTGCTAGGCAGATTGCTAACTCCTGTGAGAAAACAAAAAGAAATCTTCACTGACATCATCACAAATCATTTCTTCAATATTATTCAGACCAACTGTGCCTTGGATGGGAGACCTGCTACATGTCCCTCATGGGGAAACTGCTGCTCTTAACTCTTCCTCTTCAAATGCAGAAATCTCCCTAAAGTCTCTAGGAATTAACAGTCCATACCTTTGGTTTGGGTTTTGGTTTTTAACCTAAAACTAGCCCTAGAAAGGTACTTTACAGGCATTTGCCTTTGTCATTTTGTATCTATCAATAACAATCAGGTACAAAAGCATGGCACTCTTAACTGTCCTGGAGAGACGGGGTCCACTTGAGCAGATACAATAAAATCATGCCATTGGTGTTCACTGTTACCTGATGACCTAGGAGTGCAGCCCACAGAAGCGATAGCTTCTTGTCTGGCAACACTCACTCCTGACACCTTCTTTAGGAATCCCATTCTTCCTTGGAGACAAATTATAAATGGATTCTATCAGCTCTTTGAGACAGGCAGACACCTAACTAAGCATTAGAAGGAACACTTGGACTTCAAATTTTCACTGTAAAATCAAAAGTTTATCGAGCTATATTATCAAATATTTTTAACTTATCAAGAGTCCCTATAAAAGTGCAGAAAACCTTGTGTTTTCCTTACCGCAGGAACACAAGCTTAGGAAGCACAGGTTTAATTGCGCAAAGACTACCTAACCATTGCAAGCACATTTCTGGAAGACACGAATCCCAGATTATTTTCCAGAGCAAATTTAAACTAATTGGTGATTTCTACAAATGCCTCTGAAGCAGGCGATTAGTCTTCGGAAGCCCAGGGAAAGATTCTAAAGGCTGAGTAAGGGCAAGTGAACTTGGCAAAGAACCAAGACACCAGCCAGTCAGTCACTGCAGAGAAAACAGCTTTGCACAGCATGCCGAGGGCTAGGCTGGCTTGCACTCCATGCCCTGGAAAGCCTGGGATGAGGTCACCATGGGCAAAGGAAAGTCACATTGTTCAGTTCTTTGTTTATTCTTGGATAAAATGCTCAAGAGCAAGCCAGCGGTGGCAGATGAGATGGTGGTTTTCCTCTGCTCTCTGGCTGTGCCTATCCCAGCAGGATTGTAGCAGGTGTGGGAAAGCATTCAGACACGAGAGCATCAACACTAACCTGAGAGGCAGCTGCAGGTGCGCTAGATTCCTTACCACTCACTGCCTGCTCATTGGCTGAGGCTTCTGCCACTTCTGCCGTCTGCACACTGGTATCCTCAGCACCCGGAGGCCCTATTTGCCCCAGACCTTCACTCCCAGGAGTGCAAGGTGGATTGGAGATGGTTTTCCGGCTTTGGCCTTTATACCAACTAGGGTAAAACAAGGGATCCGCAGTTTCCGCTGCTGAAGGGCCTGGAGTTTCAGACTGTGTGGTCTGCTGAGAGCCAGTGGGCACCACCTCCCCCTTAATCAGAACAGATGAATCCACAAATAAAAAAAGAAGAAGAAGAGGAAAAAGCAGTCGGTGTTATTTCCCTTTGGGTTTGAACACCCTGAGCTCTTTGGGGGTGCTAGAGCAAAATGCTCACCACCATGCTGTGCCTCTGACTGGCATCTTGCCTTCCACTAGGTGGTATCCCAGATAGGGGAACACAGCAGCCTTGAGTGAATAGTAGTTTATAAAATACCCCGTACAGCAAATTATTGACTAGAACGAACTCTGGCATCATGCTGTGGTCCGAAAAACTGATTTTTAAAAACAACGCTAACCTAATTGATAAAACCCAACCCTCATTAATGTCTGCCCTTCTTTCAATGCAGTATAACTAGGATGCTCAGAAGTTCAATGTTCTGGGAAATGAGAAGTGTTATATCTTGGATTCCTAGGGAGACAGAATATCAAAAACAATTCCATGTCTGAGTGCTCTGCAGAATTTTGTCTCTTTCTATAATCTCAACCCACAGAAACAAAACCGGAACCCCTCTTTGACAAGCCTGCTGTTTCCATCTCATGCAACATTTGGAACTCTGCACACTGAATGCTCTGGAAGTCAACACCAAGCCCCAGGCTGGATAGTGGCTTTCTAAAAGTTTCAGATAAGCTGACCAGGTTCTGCTTCAAGTGCCTGGAACCATGTTCTCTTCAAATGACAAACAAATGGACAACGAAGTTTCATCTGCTCACCCACCAAAGAAAAAGCCAAGTTGCATTTTAGGGCAACCTACTGGAGCTCCTATGGTTTCTCTAGATACCTCCTCAATCACATTCACAAGATTCAAGGTTCTGAAGTAGTCACCTTCATATCTCACCTCGGATAATTTCTATACTGTACTCTATATTTCAATTGATTAAGCAACAAAAAGTAGTTCATACACATGTACATTCTCTCCTTCTCTCTTTCTTTCTCCCTTTCTTTATTGACAGAGATTGCCTCAGATCCGAGAGTGTTGTTGGTAGAAAAGTGGCATTAAATTAAATCTTGCCAACCACTCTAATGGTGATGGACCTTCTGAGTCACCCAGAGGGCTTTCTCCCTGGCATTGTGACTTCCCTGATCTCCTCTTGTTTGCCACCTACAAGTACGTGGCACACAGTTATTTTTCTTAGAACAAGTTGTTTAGAGTTTGGCAATGAGGAAGTTTGACAGGAAGGAACTAGTGAGTGGTTACCTGTGTCACCAGGACATCTGCAGCAGGTGGCATGGATGAAATCGGTTCTGGAGAGACAGCAAGTAGTGGTCCTGGGGAAGCCTGGAGCTCTGAGGTCAGCTGAGAGGACTCTGGGGACTTTCCCATACTCTCCTCTTCCCCTGATGACTCTATTTGAACATTTTCTACCTCTTCTACTTCTACTGCATCCCCTCCTTCTCCTTCTTCTGTTTCTCCTGTGTCCTCATCATCTTCCTCTTCTAGTGAGATAAAATATTTTTAAACATTTTATAACTACTATGGTCCCCATGGAAACAGTTAATAACTAGCACCCACAGTCTAGGGCTAGCAAAGTCATTCCAACTGATAGTTGAAAATGGCCCAGGTGTACCAGGCTGAAACCTTGTGCTTCTCACATTCACCATGGCACCTTGCTTTCATCCCCAGTACAAAACTGTGCCCTCCCCCACTCCTTCATACAACCTCGCTCACAGAGCCTGCTCACATTTAGACACTAGGTACCATATCTGCAAGCTCCTAGAAAGACAAGAGGTGATGCTGTCGCTCGCTTGTTTCTGTCTTGTTAATGAAAATGCAACCCTTTTCCCATCAGAAAGCAATGGCTTTTTTTTTTTAATTCAATGAATAAACAGCTTTTTGGTATAATAACTACTGTGACCTTTTTAAATCTACTTACTTTAATATTCACGCAGGTAACATTAATGACAGGACACATCATATCAAGTACAAATCATAATAACTACGATGAGGATATACCTCTACTGTGTTCATGGGGCTGGTATAATTTAATGACATAGCTAATCGTCCAGCCTGGTACTGTTTGCACTTCTCTTTTATGTCTACTATGGGTCAAGGCAGTCAGAGTTTGGGTCAGGTCCAGAATTATTGACTTCCTCTCAAGCATTTCATCAGGATATTTCTAAAAGAGGGAATTCTGAGCCAAAAGTGAAAGACACAGTTATAGCTTGTGGACCCTATCCTAATTCCACACTATGACAGACTCTGTGGCTTCCCACCATCTCAACCTCAAGTTGATGTGCTGTCATACCTAACCCAGAAGTCTTTTATGTTTTCTTTTCAACTCATCTTTAGTTTTTTTTTTTCTTTCTTTCTTTAAAACATAATGACTCATGCTCCAGGAAAGAGTTGAAGTTGTGCTGTCATCATTGATGTGAATTATTAAGGATTTCATTATCTGGAGTCAACCTTTTGATAACGGCATTAAAACACTATAAAGATAAACCATCAAACGCTGGGTGGTCCTGTAGTGAGACTGAGAGTCGCATTGGTGTGTGAGCCTGTGAAGTTATGGATGTCCATTCTGGAAGGTTTTGAATGTTCCCCAATTCTCTCACCCACCAGCTTTCCCACGTGTGCAATTTGCAACAGATAGTCAAAGAAATAACATACCTCTGTAAAAATCAATTTCACGGATAATTTTTTCTTCTCTGTTGAGGTTGACTGTGAAGTTGGTCATGAGTTCATAACCTTGTTCTATTTTCTCCATCTGAAATGCCTTCGATGCTTCCGAGATCCTGCAGCAAAGATACTTGTTATTTTCTGTCACTATTTAAAGTCTGAGGACCTTGGGTAAAACGAAAAAAAAAATGTGCTGTTCCATCAAACAGAAGGTACTCACTTTTGTAACAGGGTCTTGGCATTCTGTGAAAGCAACAGAGATAAGCTTACTTGACTTTTTTTTTTCATGAAGTTGGTGAGATTTTAATTACTCCATTTGTGACTCAGAATCTCCTAGCTAAGTTTCTAAATGGAGCCCTCTCTACTTACCAAATGGATGCAGCAGCTTTTACTTAGTAAAATAGTTTTTTTTTTTTTAATGAAATGTGAATAAAATGTGGTCGCAGTTAGTGCTCAGCATCCACTTTTTGGGTTTGAGTCCCTGCTTCCAAAAAGTATTACCTGCAGGAACACTGCCATTTCTGGCTCATCCATGAACTGGATCCCTGACTCCACCAATTTTGACACGTTCTCCAGGTGGTCAGAATACTTTCTGATAAGAGCTCGGACATGCTCCAGTTTCTCCTCTTGTGTTCGGGTGATGGCTTGGGTCATTTCAGTCTTCCTCTCCTCCAGGATGCCATAGAGGTAATCGAACTTCTCGCACAGGTCCTGTTTCTGCTTTCTGCAGCACTCCTGTTAGTTGAGTTAACCAATGTCAGAAATGAGTTGTGAGAAAGTCCAGTGGAGAAACTACCTGGGTAGTTTAGGAGACAAGAGCATTTACCTATAGAAGATATGTAGTTTTTTTTCTTTCCCCTTCAGCTGTCCCTGTAGGTGTAGGCACTGTGGTAAAGTTTTGAAAGCCTTATTTTTTATTTATACTTCTTTTTAATTTTTTTATAATTTATTCACTTTACATCCTGATTGTAGCCCCTCCCTCATCTCCTCCTGATCCCCCTATCCCTCACTTTCCCCCCCTCTGCCTCCCCTAGTTCACAGAAAGCAGGAGTCCTCCTCTACTACCATCTGACTCTAGCCTATCAAGTCTCATCAGGACTGCCTGGATCCTCCTCTCACCAGCTCACTGGATACAGCCAAATTAGCTGTTAGAATCGATTTTAATCATGTCTTTTTTTTTTCTGCTATGGATTCCTAAGCATAGACGATAACATCTAAGCTTTGTAGCTGTCTTTCACCCACAACCAAGTTCTAGCTTTTCTTTATAAAATTCTGCTTTCCTCTACCATATACATACCTTGTAGTCCAGCAAAAACCAGCCACTTCCCTTCCTGGCTCATGCTCTTCCCTGAGTCTACAACATTCTTCCCTACACCGCAGCAATGACATTACACTACCATGAAGGAACTGTTGGAGTACCTCTTCTTCCATCAAGGTTCCCTGGGTCTCTAGGGCTGAATGTCATAGCTTAACCTTCTGATGTCCCATAACAGTCACCACTTATGGCACATATCTACATCTGCAGAAGAGGAAAATGCTAAAAGAAAGTGTCCCCACACTGCAAGCCTGACTCTCGCTTTTGCATTGGGTGGATGATGCCTCATGAGTCCGTGTTAAATTATAACTAATTAACTCTCCAGCGGTTACATTTTTTTTCAGCTCCAGAAGGCTGAGTGTGTGTGTGTGTGTGTGTGTGTGTGTGTGTGTGTGTGTGTGTGTTTGTCTTAAAATGTGACTCAGAGTCCAGGGTCTTCAGGGCTGAGAGCAGGTTGTGAGACATAGTTTTCCCCCCTAGCTCTCCTACCATAGGAACTCAAGTAATTTATGTGTGACACCTCTGACCTCACTGTGACCCTTATCTCTTGCTCTTTCAGCTTAATAAGCCCCATTATTTTTGTTGACAGGCCTTGCTTTCTTCTTACATTTTGAATCTATTAAATATCTAAAGTATAGTCATTCTTGGGAATAGGCTATGGGTCTACCTACACGTCCACCAAGTAGAAGAATGTTTCACAAATGCAGAAAGAAAGCATTGGTTCCATAGCTTCCCCCTTTTTAGATTTATTTTATGTGTATAAGTGCTTTGTCTGTGCCCAGAGAAGTCAAAAGAGTACATTGGATCCCCTGGATCTGGAGCTACAGCCTACTTGTGAGCCCCCATGTAAGTTCTGGGACTTGAACCCAGGTCTTCTGTAAGAGAAACCAGTACCCTTAGCCAACAACCCTCAACCAACTTCTACAGTCCACCCTACCCCCCATCATTTCTTGGCATGTGGATTGATTTCTGTTTGCTTGCTTGAGATTGGGTTTTGGTTATTTCTTTGTGTTAGTTCAGGGTCTCACATAGCTTTAGGCTATCCTGAAACTCACTGTGTAGCCCAGACTAGCCACAAACCTCCAGTGATCCCACTTCTCCAGTCTCTTAAGTGTTAGTATAACAGGCATATGTTCCGCATTTTTATGGGGGGGGGGATATGATAAAACCCACTGCTTTGTCAGTTAACTTTAAAATATAATCAGAACTGCGTCTGAAAATAGGTGTCCTAATGGGTGGATAATTCTGATCTCAGAAGTAGGATCATTAGCTGGTAAATCATGCCTTGTGTGGAACACTCTCCTCTGTGTTGTCTGGAAGGCCTCGAGGCTCCTAAAACAATACAGGCTGATGCCTTTGCTTTTGATTGGTCACCAAAAGTAAATTGTGAGGCTCTATTGGCAAAGACTCCATATACTTTGATTGCAGGGCATAATCAATCTGGAAGTCAGCTGGGAGCTCCCTCCCTGCCGGGTAGTTTTCATAGGTGCTATTTGTTCAGGCTGCTGGGAAAGAAAAGCCATCAACAGTCTTACCCACTGGTGGATCCTGCATGGTACCATGTTGACCTGGCAGGCAAAATGTGCCCACGGGGGCAATAGTGACGTAACTGACATGGGAGTAACTAGCCACTTTCTTATCGGATTTTAGGGATCTTGTGGCTGGTGCTGACCTGGTCAAAGTGTCGTGTCTGGGGAGGTCATAGGAAAGGACCTAGGAGGAAACCTACTATTCTGTTATTGTTTATAAAATGGGCATGTTGTCAAACTGCCATCTAATATGTATGTTCATACCTGTAGATTAGATTGTACAGCACATGGTTAGTGACGATACTCATAACTGGTCAAAGTGTTGAGAATAAGTGACGGTTGATTGCCTGGCCCTAAAAGGTGCATCTGTGTCACTCCCTTCCATAGAAGAAGAAGGGACAGAATGTAAGAGCCAGAGACTGGGAGGAATGCTATAAAATGCTGTCTGCTGAACATGGCATGGCTATTGAATCCCTGAACTCATAAAAGCCATAGTTACTTGTTAAGACCTGCCTAAGACTGAGCTGCTAACATTCCTGTGTGGAGAGGAGTCTTCACTCCTACCTTAGGAGCTATTGGTAGTTAACGGCTGCTGAGGAAGAGCATCATTTTCTTTTTTTTTTTCGGAATTATTATCACTGCTAAGATGTCCATGCTCCAGTAAATAGTCTTTGTTCATGAAAGCAGTCATGAACACTTCTGTTCATAAATACAGTCATATAAGAACAGAAAGTAGGGGAAGGTATTGGAAAGAAGAAAACATCCAGAGAGAGTGGTATTGGGAACAAGATATGATCAGAGTACATCATATACACCAAATTGTCAAAGAATTTTAAAATGTTTGTTTGTTTGCTTGCTTGCTTGATTGATTGCTTGTTTTTGAGACAAGATATTTTTACATAGTCCTGGTTGACCTGGAACTCACTATTTAGACCAGGCTTACCTCAAAGTCACAGAGGTCAACCTGCCTGTGGAGTGCTGGGATTAAAGGCATGTGACATCATGCTCAGCCCAAATAATGAAAATTTTAAAACTTACATTAAATGTTTGTGACCTGAACATAGATCATTTATCAGATCTACTATATTGAAAGTGGGCTTTTAGAGGCAAGTACTCTCAAATGTTCCAGATTTACATTTCTTAGTTCATTGTGTCAATACAGTTAACTGCTCACTATATACCAGGTATCATGCAATCCAAAATTCTGCCATGATTGTCCAGTGTTCAGGAAAGGGCAACTCCATCATAAATGATAACTGCAAAACAAAATAATTATATTTTCTAATTTATAACAGAAAAGGTTCATGATCTTCTCTTGCTTGTTTGGCCTGTAATATAATTATTTATAGACTGTGATAAAAAACAAATCTGGCCCTAATGTGTGAAAACTCGACCTTTACCCCTGGAATCATAAGGTTGGAACCTAGAAGTTTTGATAAATTAGGATTTTCAGGGTAACCCAATATGGTTCACACAGGAGATGCTTTGGAAGAAGAAATCTCACTGAATTGTTCTGTTTCCTCTGAGGCTGACTGGGTGCCTTTCTTTCTTTTGCAGGGGCAGGAGTACAAAAATTCTGTCAACAAATAATAAACACCCTGGCTATCAATTTTCTTGGGATAGTTAAAGAACAGGCATGTGCTGCTCAATAAAATAGTCGATTATTCTGAATGAAATCCTTCCTGTGTCTTTGTAAATGTGAAACCTGCACTGCTTTCCATGGTAACTGTGCAGTAATCTGAAAAATAGAATGGGGAAAATGTAGACTTCGTGGGAGAAAATATGGGTTTCTTTCTAGCTGTGTGCCTGCAAATAGGGAACTTTAAAGATGCTTTTTGCCTGGTAAATGTGATTGCCACCCTTTTTCTCTGTTCTCCACAAAATCTTATTCTCTTCAAAGATGCTCCCTTGCTTTTTTTTCATAGTACTTTATATCAATAAATAGATTAAGACCAATTTTTCATCCTTATTTTCCTGCTTCTCTAGAAAGTAATTGAATTAAGATAGATAGTTCATGAACTTTTAAGTTTATTTTTTCACATAGCTTCATCTTTTATGTCTCTGGTTTCTATGCTGTGTGTGTGTGTGTCTGTGTGTGTGTGTGTGTGTGTGTGTGTGTGTGTGTGTATACCTTGTACCTGTATGCATGTGCTTAGACAAACTATGCAAAGTTATGGAAACCACTTATTCTCAGAACAATTTTTAAAAAGATGATGTGTACACAAGGCAATCATGAAACTTACAGGTAAAAAAAGGGGGGGGGAATTAGAAAAGATCATCCTGAGTGAGTATCCCAGAAACAGAAAGACACATGGTATATACTCACTTATAAGTGGATATTAGACATACGATATAGAATAATCATACTAAAATCCGTACACCTAAAGAAACTAAGCAAGGAGGACCCTGGGGAAGATGATCAATCCTCATTCAGAAGGGCAAATGGGATAGACATTGGAAGGAGGAGAAAATAGGGAACAGGATAGGAGCCACCACAGAGGGCCTCTGAAAGACTCTACCCAGCAGGGTATCAAAGCAGATGCTGAAACTCATAGCCAAACTTTGGGCAGAGCACAAGAAATCTTATGAAGAAAGAAGATGAAAGACCTGGAGGGGATAGGAGTTCCACAAGGACAGCAACAGAACCAAAAAAAAAAAAAAAAAAAAAAAAAAAACCTGGGCACAGGGATCTTTTCTGAGATTGATACTCCAACCAAGGACCATGCATGGAGATAAACTAGAACCCCTGCCCAGATGTAGCCGATGGCAACTCAGTGTCCAAGTGGGTGTCCTAGTAAGGGGAACAGGGGTTGTCTCTGATATGAACTTAGTGACTGGCTCTTTGATCTCCCCACACACACACACACACCCCACAAGGGGGAAAAAGCTTACCAGGCCACAGAGGAATACAATACAGCCAGTCCTGATAAGACCTGACAGGCTAGGGTCAGATGGAAGGGGAGGAGGAACTCCCCTGTAAGTGGACTGGAGGAGGGGCATGGGAGGAGAAGAGGAAGGGAGGGCAGGATTGGGAGGGCATGAGGGAGGGTGCTACAGCTGGGATACAAAGTGAATAAATTGTTATTAATAAAATAAAATTTTTAAAAAGAAGACATGTATAGCAGTATCAGGTCAGATTGGATAACTGATGGTATCTCTCTGACTCTACAGCTTCAAGACTCTGTGACTTATAAATCTGGAGATATTCTGATGTTCTTCAGGCTACAACATTTCTTTCTCCATTCCCAGCCAGTTTTAGACCATCGTCTACAGAAGTAAGACATAAACATCAGGCCCAGTTTAGGCATGTGCCACAGGCATGACAGAAAAATTCTAAAGTGGTTTTGGCCGCTGTTTTCACCATGTAAGGAGCACAGCTCTGTGTCTAAAATAGCCTGGAGATAAAGCCTGAGCCTTGCCACTTGTCACTGAGCAACTGTGGCTCCACCCCCCATTCATGTCTCCACCACATTCCTCCAGCATTCATCTGGACACACTTGTGCAGAAATGCAGCTGCATGGGAGATATAGTACTTCAAAAGTCCCATTCCGTTCTCCCAAAAATACACATGAGAAACAGACGTCAAGTTAATAATACTGAACAAAGAACCATCTTAAGTGAGATGAAGAGTTTGCCCAAGCATTCATTCACAAGGCTCCATCATAGACACTTGCTGAGGCCTCATGAGCACAGACTAGAATGTTTCTAGTAAAGGAACAAATTGGGCCTTTAGGCACAGGCTGGGCCTCAGCCTCTGGCCTCTCAGTCTCTGCCTTCTCAGCCTGTGCCCTTGCACATCAAACAACTCTGTATTGGCCAGGGTCTGGAGTCTCCCAACTGATGCTCACTCTGTTGAATTGTGTCATTCCTTCTTATGAGGAAAATAGTTAAGTAACACGTGGCATTTATATAATGCTTGCTGTTGATATCCTTAGCATCGTGACTTCTCTAGGCCAGTCCAAGCCATCTAAAATCTTCCTGGATAAATGCTGTAAAGCCTGAGGGCAGATGAACACAGGCTCAGGAAAGCCATATGGCCAGCTGAGCAAATGTTTCGCTCCCTGCACTCTGCAGACAGCATGCACCCAGGAAATATTCTCTTTTTGTTACCAGTATTTGGGGTCCTCCTAAGAATAGAGTGAATGCTGATGTTCCCATTCATTTTCAGTTTTTTTCCTGGAGGGAGCCGCCCAACTTTGACATTTTGGGTAAGTAGGACCCTGGTAAACTGCTTACACCATTTACAACAGGCTTCAGTAGGTGAAGTGATGTTTCATTTGTATCATCCAGACAAGTGTACGTGTTCCATGATGATTCAAGGTGATGTGATGTAACACTAAGCTCCTTGAATGTGCCTTTTTCCCAATTTTATCACCATAACAATGCAAAGCGGAATTATCACCCCACTGTAAAGCTGGGGAAGTTGAAGGACAAAGAACTTAAGTTGCTCCATCTCCCACCACCCTTTGGGGGTTATAAGCACCTAGGGTGTTTGCTCGCCTGCTCTCAGGCCTTTTAAAGCAGAGCATAGGAATCATCATTGGCAGCCCCTACATCTCCACATGAAACACCCAAACTAATGAAAGAGCCACGCTTGTCCACGCATATGTTCCTTCATGCCTAGTGTTGTTAAAAATATTAGACTCACTTTACAAACATGAGAAATACAAGAGTACGTAAGTAAAGCATTGAAAACTGCCATGCATGATGGCTTATATATCCTGTCCAGAATTCATGAGCCTGAGAAAGGGCATTACCATGAGTTCAAGGCTGGCCTGGGCTACAGAGTAATAACCTGTCGAAAACAAATGAAAAACAAACAACGCCCCCAACCCCATCCTGCTACTTTTCTCCTCACCTTTCCTCCCATGAAAGTACTTTTTAGATATGTATGTATATATTCAAAATGGACATGAATGAGTCTATATGTCCTACTTAATATGCATAGTCCGATACCTGTGATGCTTTTTTTTTGTAATCTTCTTTCCTTAAGAAGTCCAACAACTGAAATAAACATGTCAACCTGATTTTATTTTTTTTCAAAGCACGTGGGATTGAACTAGGTGTCTTTGTGTACAGTAAGATCTCTTTACACTCAGCCTGTTTTTATTTTTATTTTATTTTATTTTTATACAGACTACTCTAGAATGTCTAATTCCCAGCTACTTCCTAAGTAGCTAGGATTATAGGTGTGCATCAGCAAGCCTGGTGTGAAAATGTGCACTTTAAAGATCACTAATATCTTAATGACTTGAAAATAGTGACAACAGACCTTCCCTAGGAATCTGTGAAAATATGTACAAAAGTCTGCCGTGTTGGATGGAGTCATCACCAGCAAAGAAGGGATGATGATGCTGACCTTGGCTGCTCTCCACACTGTCCCTAACTAAACCCCTTCTGCTGAATTAGCTCTGTACTTTCTTGGCTGGTTCGAAAGTGTAATTAGAGACAGCTGCTTCCTGCTGAGACCCTGGCTAGCCTCTGCGAAAGATGCCTGTTGTCCTTCCTAAATGCAGCCAGAATCAAGTTGCTCCCTTGCCCAAGACCTCAGTAGCCAGAGGACTCGCCATGCATCTTTTGATGTCTTTATCCCAGACAGGAAGCCAGCTTCTCCACAGAGTCCCAAGAGGTGGCTAGAGATTGCCTCGCTCCCCACAAGCAACAGGCTGTTTATACACCTCTGACTCAACTCAGCGTAGCCCATATTGAGGTGCTGATTCATGGCTAGTCACCAGCTGGTCTGCACTGTAAATAAGTAAAGAGGTAACAGCTTGGTGTGTCCATTTCTGAATCTCCTAGGCCCTTCACCAAGAGAAAATATTCCTTCTGTAAGTGAATCTCCACATATCAAAGATCTTTTCAGTAATCTGAGTGTGGCAAAGAAAGAAAATTGGTTTGGGTGATGTGTGAATCAAAGATGGAATAACTATAACTAATTGAAATCTTGAAGCCATCCTCTAAGAAATGGCCTTGGACTTGTGACAGACTTCACCTTGGTAATAGAACATAAGGCCACACACTCCGTGCCAGGTACTGTGCTGAGCATCTTCATGCCTGTAACCTCTACAGGAGAGGTGTGATTGTCCCCTTCACAGAAGAAGAAACCAAGGCACTGAATATGCTATGGAGTAACATGGATGGATCTTAAAAACTCAGCGCTAAATTCAAGACACAAAAAAGTTACAATGAAATGGCATTTGTAAAATTAAAAGACATGAATGCTATGATGGTTTAAATGAGAATGGTCCCCATAGGCTCATATACTTGAATGCTTGGTCCCTACTTGGTAGAATTGTTTGGGGAAAATTAGGAGTTACGGCCTTATTAAAGAAAGAGTGTCACTGCGGGGAGGTTTTGAAGTTTCAAAAGCCCACATCAGACTCAGAGTCTCTCTCTCTCTCTCTCTCTCTCTCTCTCTCTCTCTCTCTCTGCCTCCATCTTGAAAGTAAGCTGCAGATTCTCAGCTACTGCTGTGGTGACATGCCTGCCTGTTGTGATGCTCCTCACAATAATTACCGTAGACTCAACCTCTGAAAGTGTAAGCAAGCCTCAGTTAACTGCCTTCTTCTCTAAGTTGCCTTGGTCATGGTGTCTCTTCATAGCAATAGAAAAGTAACTAAGACACATACAAAACAATACATATTTTATGAAAATGCACACACACAGACAATCCAGTGTGTTAAAACTATTATCTTTGGGAAAAGAAAACAGAGGGAAATAACAGGTAATAAGAGAAGCCTTCACGAGCATAAAGAAGAAAAGCAACAAGAAGAGTGTATGAAATGCTGAGTAGTTAATACCCCAGCATGCTAGCCAGAATTGAAGAGGTCTTTCTCCTCCTCAGGGTCTTCATGATAACTACCAGGAGAACATGGGCTTGTAGCTCACACCTTCACCAGACTTCCTGAAATTCCCATCAGCATTTCTGAAGACTATTCAGGTTTCCACCAAGAAATCTTGTTAAATAATAGCAAGTGTTCATTTCCATTTCTGACAACTAATTTGTCTTGTTGCTAATCTTTCAAAAGAAATTGACTGAGGAAGAACACGCACACACACACTAACTGCTTGAGTAGCTGTGGTAAAAATCTGCCTCATCAAGTTGAGAGGTAAGTTTTCTTAAGTGCCGGGAAGTGTTTCAGAAATATATCAGGAAGGAGGCTATTCTATTGAAACATTGGTATAGGATTTCTAGTGTATCAGGGAGACAACCACTAGCCCCTAGGAGTTTCGGGATTGGCTTTTAATCCCTGTGAGTCAGCTGACCTACCTCAATAGTTTTACAGGTGTCCTCCAGCTGGCTGATCACACCCTGGATTCGATCGTTGCTTCCCACCAGTACAGCAATGCCGTCGCTGAGCTCTGTCTAAGGAAGAGAAAACAGAACTCGGGATATTAGGAGTTTCTTAAACATGGATGATCATGGGCTAGTCACAGCATGATCCTCGAGGGCGGTTAATCCCTATGGTATCTATGGAAGTTAACATGGAAACCTATTAGTAAACCTGAAGCTACTCTGAACAAAGAAGGGGTGGAAGTCCCACTTCCCATCCCTCTGCTCATCCCAGGGATTTCCTGACTCTGAGAGCAGTCAAAAGCAGATACCACAGTGTTCCTTGGGGATAGGGGAGGAGGTATAAGTGGACAAAGGAAATTAAAAGTGAGTTGAAAAAAATAATGGCAACAAATGCAAATCTTAATTTCTGGCTGTCTCAGGTTTTATAAGAGTTTGGCTTCCAAGTCGGTTTAACCTCCGATGTTTGAGGTAAAATTGGAATCAGTGATTGTAAGTGGAAGCAATTTATATGTACTGACAAATGTATCCCCTTCACCCACATAGGAGCATCCAGTCTGGGCTGCTGGTGAGACTGTATTGCATTAGAAAGAGGAGGCCCAAATCTAGTCTCTGGGGTGAGGGACATGTACTACATTCAAAGGGAGCTTTTTAGCATCTGGCCTAGGTGACTTGAAGGCCAGCAGGAGACATAGACTTCCAATTGTTCTGTAACTGTGTGTCATGATTATGACTCTCACACAGAAAGAATGGGTTGGAAAAGGTTTTGAAGAGGGCAAGAGAACATTTTATTGATAAACAATAAAAATCATTCTAGGACAGGAAGGAGAAAGTGAAGGCTATCTAATTCTTGTCTGTGGTTTAACTCCAAGTCATCTTAAGCAGGTGGCACTTGACTTAACACTCCGTATCTTCAGCAACCTCCAAAGGTCACAGAGAGTAACCCAGCTCTTCTCCACCTTTTCCTGAACCTTAGCCTTCTCTCCCTCACTGGCCCACTCCACAGACTTGAAGGGAATCAGATATGAGACAAACTGAGAGGCTACTCCTGTAGGGCCTCCCGCATGCACCCTCCCTTTTGCTGGGCTCCAGTCTTTGGCTCATGGAGCTGACTCACTAGCGCTTAGAAGGGGCGGAGGAGGAGAACTGAAGTGCCTACCTTCTGCCTCTGGAACACATGGGTCAGGGGCGCCACCTGGCAGTCCTTATGAGCGCCAAAAACCTTGCACAAGGAGCAGGTAGGCACCTCACAGTTCAGGCAGTAGATATTAATGCGCTCCTCTTCATGATCTTCACACATGGGCTGGTCTGACTTCTTTTCTGGCCTAGGAGGAGGTGAGAAGATAAATATCCATCAACATCGACCAGGGCAGAGCAGAGGAGGGCAAGCTTTGCAAACCCACTGATCCCTGGTCCAATGCATACGGACAGAAGCCTACAAGAAACTCGAGTCCTAGGCAGTCTGGAGAATTGAAGCCAGAATCTTTAGCCTCTATAGAATATTGTGAGGGCAGCTATAAAGAGGAAGACTTAGTGGACATCTTAAGATATTACTTGTGGAAATGGATTCCATAAAAGCAACACTGTACGCCAACAGAGGAAGACACGGATCCAAGGGATTTAACCCAAGGAGGAGTAAAAGGAATTCCAAATGGAGAGTAGAACCCAGCACTGAAAGGGCTCAGTCTGCAGCAGAAAGCTGATAGTCAATAACTAACTTTGAAAAATAAAAATAAAAACAGGACATAGTGCTTCAGTGACAGACCATGTCTTACAAAAAAGGAACACAGTGAAAGACATCTGACCAACCATTGGCCTCCACACACATGTGCACATATACATGCCCCCACATGAACATTCACACATGCATAACACACACACACACACACACACACACACACACACACACATCTGGTAGAGTAATAATAGAATCCACTTCAGAGACTTTTGAGAAAACCAAAAAATCACACCTGAGCCACAGAGAAAGCTCTGAACAGAGTCTAACAAATAGCATGGAGTCATTTTGTTTATTATATGTGCAAATTAATCACTATTTACAATGCTAATATTAAACAAATTAGTGTCTTCTATTGCCTAGCTCAAACTGTGGAAGATGCATCACCATGCAGAATGTTAAATAAAGCCAGGATTTGTCAAGACTCCAACTGTTCTGTTAGAGGTCAGGGTTGAATAATACTTCAAAAGTTCATCCTGACATTTTTCCCTTTCTGTTGACACTCCTAAAGTCTAGAGCTGATGTTAGTTTATTCTGTATATCCAGGGTTATTCTAAGGTCATCTAATAAATCTCAAGGCTTGGAGTTCAGGTCTGTTTGTCTTCACAGTTTCAGGAACAGCTAGTTTTATGTGACTACACCACTTTAGGCAACTCCAAAAGCAACTTGAGCTTAATAAACAATATAAGAATTTTATAATCACAAATATATCCCTATTTCATTCTGCTTTTGCTTTAGTGGTACAGATTTGACTGTTTTTGTACCATTTGTTTCCCATCCCTTGAAGGGGCATCAGGCTGACTTCATGTTAAAGTAGCACTACTAACACAGCAAGTTATTTGTTAGTAACATTTCCTGTCCTCTAGATTTCATAGTAAACGCTATCATGTTCATGTTTGAAGTTCCCACTAGGTGAGAAAGAAGAATCGCAATAAATAGAACACAGAAGACTGTCCTTGGTGCCCTTGTCTTTAGGAGCTACATTTGGAGTCCCTGCTCTATGAAATGCACTGTACATGATTCTGAAACCATTGTCACATAAATGACTTTCAATAATTGGCTGGTTATTAGTTGCCAGGGTAATCTCTTAAGGAGACAATGTACAGTTGAATTTTCTTGAGGTTATAATATAACTACACCATTTCTCCCTTCTCTTTCCTCCCTCCACACCCTCCCATCTAGCAGCCCTCTTGCTCTCTTTCAACTTCATGGTCTTTTTTAAAGTCAGTATTACATACATATATGTATATACATACATATTTCTAAATAAGACCTGCTCAGTCTATATAATGTTACTCTAATTATGTTTTCAGGACTTACTACATGGTATTAGATAACCAACCTGGTTATTGCCTAAGAAGGACTATTTTCCCACTCTCAGCATTTGTTAGTTGCCTATAGTTCTCTGGGTTGAAGCTCATGGTCTTTCCCCATACACTTTGGCATGTCTGTTGGTTTCCTTGCTCGTTTTGTGTTTAGGAAGTCATGTTGAAGGGATGCAGTTTGGGCTATAACTTCTGATGTTAATACTAGACACAGTCTTACAGCAAACTCCATAATCTGCTGGCTCTTAGAGTCTTTACCACCACCCCTACCCCCTGCCCTGCACTGTTCTCCAATGTTCGCTGAGCTTTGGGTGTGGGAATGTTTTGTAGATGTATTTATCTGGATACCTCTGTTGAATTTTAATACAGTAAAATACAGTGCAATCAGATCTGTAACACTTCTTTTCAAGCGATTTGGAAGCAAGGGGAACAGGTGCCTGTAATATGTCATCAGCAATTCTTCCTGAGTTCCATCTATAGCCTAATTTAGCTCTGAATCTTGAGCAGAAACTAATGGCCATGATAATCACAATAATTTCATGCTAGATTAATTGAACAACTTTCCTGAAAAGAGTGGAAGGCTTTTACAGCCCTGCAGATGTCCCGTGGGCACAGGCTCCTTGTAATAAGGATCGTAAGGGGTCCACTTCTACATGATTTCCCCCTGGCTACCAAGGTTTTAGTCTCAAATAACCTGTGCAGAATTGAGCTAGCGGTCTTCGCACCATGCCTTTTAGGAACAAACTCTGTAGTTTCCTCTCTAAGAATGGAACTGGATAGCTTGTGTGGTGTGATAAATAAAAAGATTTTAAAATGTTGTAATGGCTGGATGCCTATGACATAGCAATTAATCAGCAAGCGAGTACTAAGAGTGGGCCGTAACAGGGAAAGAGCCTGAAATGCATTTCCCCTCCCTTTTCTGTAAATGAAGTTTCTGCAGACCAGCATTACACCTTGCCTTGAAAGTTACATAGAGCCAACATGGCGAATGATGATGTCAGAGTGTTTTTTAAAGTATAAATATTACTATTATTTAGACTAGAAACTGGGAAATGATGTTTCTTAATTTATGTCCATGTTTGTGCTAGAGTTTTCCTGTATCAAAGGATGTGGAATTATAAGAAACCAGCAATGTATCAACATAATTTAAACGAATGTGATACAAGGCTGTGGGTCTTCTTCAACATGACTCTTTGATGGCCCACTCCAGCACCTCCTCTCCTCCACGAACAGCTCTGTCTCATTGGTGAGGACTAACTCAGAAAAGCCTTTAACAAACACCTAGTGCAGCAGCCGGTTAAGACGAATACACACAGAGCAGCCAGTAGGCCTGGCTCTCAGCACTGCTCTTACCTGGTGGATTCCTGCTTGTAGATATCAATGATGTTTTCCACCAGCAGGTTCCTCTGCAGTCCATAGACCCCGTGTCTGTCTAACACCACCTCATGTCTGCAAGAGGGACAGCGGAAGCGGCCCCCTGACGCCACAGTGGTGCCTCCTCTTGTCGGTAAGTATGGGTTAGAGGCCTACTCTTGCCAAACAAAAACAAAAAAAAAAAAAGAAAAGAAAAGAAAGAAAAAGAACAGAGTAACCCCACGGGGAGCTTTTTGGAGACTTGTTTTCCCTCTCTGACACTACACACAATATGGACTCCTCAGGGCTTACTGCAAGCAGTCCTGAAACACAGGGCCCTCCCTGGGCCGCAGCCATCGGCAGTACACTCTGGTCTGTGAGGGGCACTTTTCTGTCTTGTGTTTTCATAACCCAGAGTTTCAGCCAGAAGCTCCCATGCTCATACCCTGGGCAGTAACCCATTTTCAATCTTTAAACAGACTCAGTGATCAGTTTTGTTTTACTAAAGACAAACGTGGTTCTTAGAATTAAAACACAATGGGATTTGTGAGTGAGGAGGGGTTGGCAACCAAGCTCAGAGAAATGATTCTAATACTCTGAAAGCAGCCTCGGAAAGCTCTCTGAGGGAGCTGACTTTGACTGCAAACGCTTGGGGCAGGGCGGAGGGACTCCCAGGAGCCTCCACGTTCCGGACAAACCTACCTGGAAGATGTCGCTGGCGCATTTCCTGCACAGGTTGTGCTGGCAGGGAAGAATGACCACAGGCTTCGTGAACATCTCCAGGCAGATGGGGCAGATCAGTTGCTTCTCCAAGTTATCCATAGTCTGCTGCTCTTTGGAGAAAGACTTGTAATTCAGAGAAGTGCTCATTTCCTGGCCGTCCCTGAGCGTGATGCCAGGGCAAGGGTGTGCTCCCAAACGGCTCCGTCGAGTGTTTCCTGGAAATAATTCCAAGGACTGTACGATCAAGTGTCCTTTATGTTTCTCTCTGTGGAGGACATTGTTTCAGGCCCTGGTTCAGAGTGGGTGATGGAGCTGTTTTTAGCAACCCAAGGTCACATGACCCTGGACTGACTTGTCCATATAAGCCAGTGACAGGAGGATGGATTCTGACAGGTGACAGAGAACAGGAGTCAACATTCTTGCCCTGGGGAGTAAGGGAGTGGGTGGAAAGGGGATTACAAGTCCCATTTAGCAGGGGTTACAAAGGGAGGGCGATCTGAAGCCCACAGTTGTCAACAACAAATGCAAATGTGCGTGCCTACCCTCTGAGCCATGCCCTGGGTGAGCACTCGGAAAGAACTTAGTGACAGGCTCCTTCAAAATGCAACCCTACGGTGTAACTGGGTAAGAAGCATTGTTTCTTCAGACTTCATGAAGGAAACAAGCCACCCAAAGTAACATGGCAGCAACTGCTTCCCTGCAAGTAAGCGAAACTTCCCTGCAGATCTCCATTTGGTCCCACAGGACAATCCTGTAAAAAAAGCAGTGTATGGTGTTAAGTATTTCATCTTTGCCAAGACTGCAGTACAGGAAAAAATTCCAATTGAAAAGCTGAACGTGGTACCCTTTCGCCATAAACAGACACTTTTTCTTTTTATGGCTGTTGATGTGTATGTATGAATGTTTGCATGTGTGTGGGTGAGCATGCTGTGCACATGCGTGTGTCTGGCACCAAGAGTCACTCTCCATCTTATGCACAGAGCAGGGCCCTTTGAAGCCGAAGTTGGCTGATTACTGTGGCTAGCCATCTTGCTCAGGCGACCCCCCTGTTTCCTCTAGAGCTACAGGTGGGAAGGCACGCCCAGCGGGAATCTGGAGTCATCGATGACTTTAGGAACCAAAGTGTTGAGAATGTTGTGGATGTCCTTCCCAGAATGCCCTCTTTCATCCAGTATCCCCACACACACCCTAAAACACAAAGAAGTTTGTGACAGTCTGTTACCAATGAAGCTTACTTTACGACAGCCATACTTAATGGGACGGCAGCTGGCATGTGAATTGCGTACTGGAGGGAAAATGGAGTCCTAGGTACCTGCCCAATCTGTTCCTAAGGTGTTTGTGCATTTTGCCCTTTATTCAAGGCCATTTTTAAAATTGTAGTATCCCTAGTAATGTCCAGTATTCTCAGTCTGCTCTTGTATCATAAACACAGATTCTGACATTATCCAGGAATTTGTAAAAAAAAGACTTTTAAATTAATTTATTTAATCACTTTACAGCCTGATCACAGCCCCCTCTTTCCTCTCCTCCCAGTACCACCCTCATACCCCCTTCCTCTTCCACCCTCTCTCTCCCCAACCCTGCTCCTCCCTCTCTTTGAAAAGAAAGCCAGGCTCCAAGGGATACCAACCCACTTTGGCACCTCAAGTTTCAGCAGAACTAAGCACATTCTCTCCCACTGAGATTTGACAAGGCAGCCCAGCTAAGGAAAAGGGATCCAAAGGCAGGCAACAGAGGGCCTCTACTCCCATTGTTAGGGAACCCACATGACGACCAAGCTGCATATCTGCTACATATGTGTAGGGGGCCTAGGTCTCTAGGTGCAGGCCATGCAAGCTCTTTGGTTGGTGGCTCAGTCTCTGTGAGGCCCTGTGGGCCCAGGTTAGTTTACTCTGTAGGTTTTCTTGTGTCTTTGATCCCTCCAGCTCCCTCAAGCCTTCCTCCCACTATACCACAAAACTCCCCAAGCTTGACCTATTGTTTGGTTGTAGGTTTCTTTTAATCAGTGTGTATTCCATGTAAAACTTTAAATCAGAGAAAAAGCAAAGGGGAAACTTATATCAGTTTTTATGTGAAAACTTTTTAATCTTATTTCTCTATGATTTCAAAAATCCCAAACAAAACACAAAAAATCCCCAGTGTTCAGTTAATTACAATAAAGGGCAGGTCATGGTGACCTGTTTGTGCAGTCAGTCTTGTTCTATATGCACAGTCAGCTTATATATAAGTCCTGTTGTCTAACAATAAGTTACGTGAATGCATAAACATCAGGGGAATTTTTGTAAGATTCAAATTTTTCAATATTTATTCAGCAACGACAGTGAAGAGAATTCATACCACTCTCCTGATGAATTGTACCCTGTCACCTCACTTTAGCAGTTAGATTCTTTAGCAGTTATAATTACTTTGGCTATGGAGTTCTGAGCTCAATATATGAAATAATTTCCAGGGGAGTTTCTACTGAGGAAGTAAAAGACCTTGCAATCTAAAGAAAAGTACTTATTAGTCAGGGTTCTCCAAAGGAATAGAATCAGCAGAAGTGTGTGTGTGTGTGTGTGTGTGTGTGTGTGTGTGTGTGTGTGTGTG